CCACGTTTCAGATGCGCAGATATGTTGTTTTTTTTTTTTTCTCCGAAATATCTAAAACATTTTAATACAATAGGTCGTAAATTGTCTCCGAATACGTAGACTAGACGAATCTTTGTTTTTAGCGTCGCGGCATCCAATCTATGGCGTCGGGTTATTATCTTTTTGTCTTGACAAATTTTGTCTGGAACGACCATTATGGTGAATCTAAAGTTTGACAATTAAATTCATTGTCAATACAAAAAAAAAACAAACATTTTTTTAATTTTCTAATTATTGTAAATGAACACTTTTATAACGATTATATTTCTCAATCTCCTTACGATTAAAGAGTAAAGTGCTTAACAAAGACCACTCGAGCGGACTTGATCATTCTCATTCAAAAGGTGTGATCTGTAAATTAAATTTTATAATAACATTGCGGACTGTATTGTTTATTGAAACACAACAAATTACGACACTCATTTTAAATTGGCTCTTTACAATAAATTCTCCTTTAACCTATCAATAAATCCCCTTGGAGTGCATAACCGCGAACACTTACGCAAGCGGTCTTGTAGAGTGGTTTTGCCTACGTAATGTTCACTGCGGGTCAATAAACTCTAATCTTACAATTGCAAGATTTGAATATCGTTATCACACTCTCAGCTGCATCTAGAGTATTCATACTTTAGACGCAACGAACAGATCGCCAGAGGCATTCATATACAGTGGTATTTTAACCATTAATCATATTTTAATTTCTTTTGTTTATTAGACATTAGCCAGTTCCTAGAATCTAAAGGTTGATAAACTTAGGCATATGAAATATGGTATTTTATTCTTTGTTTATGACACAACTTATATTCTTTGTTAGAGAATGTTTTGTAGTACTAAATAGTAATACGTAATACTTTTGTTTATAGAATATATTACAATAGGGACGCCTAATTAGTTATTTATAATTTTATTCAAAGAAGCCGAAACATAGTCAGAAAACAAAAATCAAAATTATTTATTAACTAGCTTTCCGCCCGCAGCTTCGCCGCGTGGAGTTCGGTTATATCGCGTTTCCAAGAGAACCTTTCAAAAGTCTGGGATAAAAACTATCCTATGTTCTTTCTCAAGGTCAACTCTATCTCTGTACCGAATTTCATTAAAATCAGTATCAAGGCGTGAAAGCGTAGCAGACAGACAGACAGACAGACAGACAGACAGACAGACAGAGTTACTTTCGCATTTATAATATTAGTAGGGATGAAACTCTATAAAAAAAATCTAAAATTCTTATTAATGTAACTTAATAAAAATATGTATCAATATTTTTAAGTCTATTAAGGACTTTATCAAAACATTGTAGTCCTTAAAATAGTGTATTTAAATTCATATATGTATATATATATATATATATATATATATATATATATATATATGTGTGTGTGTATATGGGTGTATATATATATTTTTGGAATGTTTCGCTATGGTCCTTATTATATAATGAAGGTATTGCGAGAACAGGTAACGTGATCGTTTCAGGTTACGTAGTATCCCGGGAAGACATTACAGTTCGACACGCTGATCGGGCCTTCTTCCACGTAACGTCATTCGAAACCAAAGTAGACAGACTGACGCTTTATCAAGAATGCATTGTCAACTTTTTCGTAGTAAACACTCATAGGATATGTGTAATGACCAAGGTTCAATTTACATATTATAATTAAAGGCGCGAAATTTCTTTCTTTGTTTAATTCTATATTTGAACTTTGCAGTTTGTATTATGTAATTCCTTCATTTTTTAACTAAGATAATACGTTGATTTTATTATATTAAAAAATAGAGGTAAAAATTTAAAAAGTATAAATTTTATTGTAAACTCAAAGATACTCCTGAAAGTTCATAAAACAATATACCAAGATAAAGATCATTAATAAAAATAATAATGCAGGATCTTCAAAAGATATCTATGATGATATCTATTCATTTGATCCGTACAGAAAATATTGTCTTTTTTATTTTAGTTTTGTTTCATATTTAAGAACACAAAAAATTCTTATTCACACGAAATTTGTTGAACCATTCCATGCATATATTCAAAATAATATAACAACACGGAATCTCAGAATATAACAGCGTTCAGAAGTATAAAATAGTATGAAACCTTGACAAATAATTATTGTAACATTCATATGTATGATAAACAACTAAGTTTAATATATATTAAATACGTGCGATACTATAACTGAAATAAATAATAAAAAAACGGTACTTTTATATCAGCTATAGGGCTAGGGTTATCAAAGATTTATCAGTTCGCTCTTGTAAGGTAGTGCAAATTTAAATGTGTCACCTACTTTTATATATTGAAGGTCACACGATACAAAATTATATTTTTATTACTTTATAATATTCTTAGCATATTTATTCTACAATATGATATACACGAAGATTTATTAAGTAATAACGTTTTAACGCAAAATGACTCACGATATCTGAGTTTAAATGCGTATAGATGCGTTTATTTTTTGATTTGCCAAACAATTTATAAAAGGCAATTAGCAAAACGTGAACTGCCAGCGAATAAGACAATATGCTTCAGCGACAAAATCTAGATTTGCCTACCAGACAATTGTTTTAATGCATTGAAGGCGAGTCTTAGGTCTATAGAGACTTGTCGACGACATTTTATGTAAATATATATATATTATGTATGTTTAATATCATACTTTAACAATTCCCGCCTAAATAATTTTTATCTTTTTAATCCTAGCCTATATGAAAACATAATCATCATTGTCTAGACAATAATGAAGCTGTTATCAATTGAAATTAAATTTTAATAGCGGCCCGAAATTTTTATATCAACTGAATTATTTTGGGCCATTCTGGTATTCTTTTTTTCTAATTGCGTTTGATGTACTCGTGTAGTAAATTGAGAACAATTACTGTTTTTTTTTTATTGATATGATTTCAGTTAATACATAATTTGCATTGAAGTTATTATATTAAACAACAATATCGGATAAAAACAAAAGAATTTTATATTTTAATTTCTTCACCATTAAAAAATTTAAATGCAATATTAATAATTACATGTATGTGGTACCAACTCGCAATGTCTTTATTTTTTATATCCCAAACTACTATTAATAGTAGTGCCTAATAAATTCTACATTACAGCTATATAATACAATTTTCATGAAAACAAAAATAAGTGCTACAATTTTGTGAAAAAAAGACAACCTAGAATATTCCAAAATAAATTTCGTTCGTACTAACAGAAATATTACTTGTATATATCATAAAATATATTTCCATGATGCATTTAACCCCAACTTCCTCTCGAATTCGTTTTGTTTGTTGTAAATTCTCGCACTCGCCATACCGGCGCCGTACTAACAAGTGATGATGAATTGCTTTTCGCAATCGAGATCACGTACATAGGTATTCTGTAAATATGTGGAACACTCACGCGTTTTGACCATTTTATTAATTTAAATGTTAACTATGCGATATTTTTTACATGACAACAGATCTGTTACAATCTAATCTTTGTACCACAGAATTAATAATTAATTAATATTTTTTAATATATAAAAATGTCATGATTATATAAAATGATTTTACCAAAATTGGGCTATCGTAAAACCTCTAATTTAATGAAAGAAACATTTTGAAACATTAAAAAACTAATTATTCGACAATACACGTGTTAATTATCAACAATTGTTTATAGTTTACACAACGGTATAAAAACAACAAAACGGGATAAAAATCACGACGAAGACGTCGGAGTTACAAATTCATAATAATCGATTAAGATTTTTTTTTATCAGCTTTAAAATAAATTAAATATTTGTGTCAAGGTATCATAAAATGAGGATAAGCGAGTACCCTTGCGCGTCTCACTTGACGCACATACGTAGAATACAATGAACCGATGTGATAATTAGCGAAGACAGTACTGTTTTAATGAGAACGTACCACCAAAGAGGTTTTATTAAATAACTAAGGGTCACTATCTACGAGTTTTATAAATAAATGAGATAGTTTTTGTCATATCGATAGCAGTGACGTGAATGTTAAAAGTATAATATTGCATCTTAATAAAGAAAGATAATATTGCTTCTGTATATACATTTAATTTGAAAATCTTATCTTGGATTTTACTAGCTGAAAATTATAAAAAAAAATAGAGATGACGATCATTTTCAAATTATGAATTTAATAATAACATATTTTTAAGAATAATACGTTATTATTATTTTTTTATATTAGAATATTTTTGTGGTGAGAAGTTATAAGTATTATTCCTACTCGTAAATTATGCGGACTGTGTATATTTCCACAACGGAAACATTCATAATTACTTAGAGGAATATTTGATAATACAAGTCAACTCGGTGTATCCAAAGTTTTCGACAAATATAAATATACACTGAGAGCATTCTGTAAACAAAACTTAGCTGTCACTAGAATTATGAAAATAGTGTAACGTAATTTAACAAAAACAACAGATAAGAGGACCTTGAATTGATACGGTAATACAAGATAATAATAAAAAAACTTTTATCTTGAATATATCAGTATAAACAAAAAATATGGTGTACTGAAATTAACTGGGAACGCCGAATAAACACGGTGCGGAATATGTAAATATTACACAACGAAAAAGATTACGTGAAATACTAAGAAAGTTATTCATAATAATTTGTTTGTGGGTAATCACATTATGTGATTTATATTTCAAACTCTACTTGAGAATACTCCAAATTTATTACGCACGGCTGTAATATAACATTTCTAATCTTATTATGATTATTAATTTAAATTACAATAAGTCCCAAAATAACTTTTTTGATTTATTACAAACATGAATAAATATGTAAAAACATAATACAAAATTCCTTTTTAAAAAGTTTTAATTAAATTACCCTGACTAGTTTTGACGTATTAATGAAACCAGTATTCACTTAAATAAATAATTATTAAGAATGTTTTATTATAAACAAATGAATTTATTTTCAATGGACGATAATGACAATTATTGGACCGGATTCTATTGTATAGCTTGTCGAGAGGAAAAGGACTTAAATCCTGACCATTCCATACCATATAATGAAACTAACAATGAAAGACCTAAAGGGACGGTCATTGACCTTTTGTCCGAGTGCGTGATCGGTGAACTTAATCCGAAAATTGTAGCGTATAAACTGATACGACAGATCATATAAAAAAAATATTTATTTTATATAGACTATAAAAAGCAAAGCAGAAACTTAATAAATTTCTAATAAAGAATGTTTTATTATACAATATTTTTATTTAACCAAATCGAAATATTATAAATCATATTTGGTGTTAATATTCCATTTGGATACATTTTAAAATAAAATGGAAAATCCACTAATTACTTAATAATTATATTATATATTACATAAAGATAAAATTAATTAGACGCAATTCCAAAAGCAAATGCAATGTACTATAATCGCATCCACTCATATACATATATACCCAAATATACTGCTCTAAAAAGATTGTATTGAGGTAATGAGTTTTAGTAATTAAGGATATATTTTTTTTAAACTACATAGCTTAGGAGCACGGTTTTTATTTCCATATATTAAACAGGTCCTATAAATCTTTAATTTTAATATTTAAAATTACTCAATTGTTAATGTAGAAACGGTATGATTTATCGTTATTGTATCTCATGCAAATATATAAAAAAAACATTTATAAATCATTAAAACAAATGATAAATATTTTTTTTTCATTTACATACAAAAAAAATATTCTAACTAGAGATAAATATATATTTTGAGAGCGATATTTAAGTGTCGGTTAGAGGTCGATCTCGTAGCGCTCTGCCCAAGGCTCTTGTGCCTGTGTCGTCGACCCGCCGTCACCTTGCTTCGCACTAACTTACGCAATTCGTTAATCTTATCATCTGCATGCACTCCCGCGCGACCTCGATAGCCCCCTCTCACCCCTCGCCAAATTTAACGTCTAACGAATTGACATAAATTCGAGTATCAATATATACAGTGTAACATCAAGATCCGTACGACAAACAGCTCATATAATAAATAAAAAGCATAAACTAACCGACTTTCATATAAGATAACGAATACTTTAGAAAGCATTTCACTACGTTCTGGATATAATTCGTGTCTACAGAGTTCGTGCTACGAGTTTCGTAGCGAACCGGCCAACGGAAAAGTCGCGGAGAGAGGAGCGCCGGTGGGACGAACCTGCGCGCGCGCCACCCGAGCGTATTTATTCGCAAGGCCACGCTAGCGCCGCGCCAGTGCGTAGACAACACTCGCACGCGGTATACGGTCACTGCGTTACGAACACCGCGTACCGCGATACGTATTCCGCGCACTAATGTTATTCACAGTTAAATATTGATAAAGCTTTTTTTTACGGAAATAATATAAAAAAAAATAAAGTTTTAAAAATGATAACAATACTCTCTAACTCAAAACTGTTGTGGGGACTGTGGCAAGTGATGAGCTACTGTACTTCGCGTACGACGATGCCGCTATTGCTGACTGTTGGCTTGACATTTTTGGTAATGCGGTTGATAAATCTAGTGCGTGAAATCCGAAAGTTACCACCCGGCCCGTGGAGCCCGCCGGTCGTCGGCTATCTACCCTTCCTTGGGGTTCGCCATAAAACGTTTTTGGAGCTTGCAAGAAGTTACGGTGCCCTGTTCTCCGCTCGTATTGGAAATCAACTAACTGTGGTGTTGAGTGACTATAAATTGATCAGAGAAGCATTTCGACGAGAGGAGTTCACCGGTCGACCCAGCACTCCATTGATGCATATTTTGGATGGTCTAGGTAATTATTAGAAAAAATTTAAAATTGTTAAATATATTTCATAACACCAAAAATGTATTTCCCAAATATATACACGTAATCATCAAAAAATCACATTACATTATTTTTTAATAAATCGAGATTTTCATTTTACATTTTAATACATATAATAAGTAAGTGGACACGAGACTAAATGTAAATTGATTTATAAACACAAAGAACCTCCCTCAAACATTATTCACTGTGTTCAGGTATCGTCAATAGTGAGGGTCGCCTGTGGAAGAGCCAACGCCGGTTCTTGCACGAGAAACTCCGCGAATTCGGAATGACTTACATGGGAAATGGCAAGAAAATCATGGAAGCGAGAATTAAGGTATTTTCTTTCATATTTTATAGTAAAAAAAATGCTATTCCTAAATAAACTTATAAAAATATTGAAATATAAGATGATGTTAATCAAATATTTTCTTTAAACAGAACGAAGTTCACGATCTGATGGATAACTTGCAATGCACAGAAGCAGCACCAGTAGATCCAAATCCGCTTTTTGCTTTGGGCGTGTCTAACGTGATCTGTGGTATTACTATGTCAGTACGCTTTAGTCACGGTGATGCCCGATTTGCTAGACTAAACCATTTAATTGAAGAGGGCATGAGACTATTTGGAGAAATCCATTATGGAGAATACATCCCTCTATACAACGTAAGTTCTCTTACAATATTATATAAAATTGATGTAAAAAAAAATCGTATGTACTTATATATATTTATGTAAATTCTTAAACGATAATAACATTTAATTTCTTTCTATAGTACCTACCAGGCAAAGCGCAAGTTCAAGAAAAAGTTGCGAAGAACCGCGAAGAAATGTTTGCATTTTATCAAACTCTAATCGATGAACACCGAAACACTCTCGACATCAATAATTCTAGAGACCTTATCGATGTTTATTTGATTGAAATTGAAAAAGCAAAACTTGAAGGCAGAGAAGGAGATTTATTTGACGGGAGAAATCATGGTAATGACATATAAAATATTTATAACTTACTCCCATGTATATAAAATTTAAATTAGGGATGGAGATTTATTATTTTATTTGCTTTTAGAATTACAACTAAAACAAATTCTCGGAGATTTGTTTTCCGCTGGCATGGAAACCATCAAGTCTTCACTTCTGTGGATGATCGTATTCATGTTACGAAACCCTGACGTGAAGAGACGAGTTCAGGAGGAGTTAGATACGGTTATTGGTCGAGAGCGTCTTCCAACTATTGAAGACATGTCAAGTTTACCATACACAGAAACTACCATACTTGAAACACTCCGCATGTCTAGCATTGTACCTTTGGCCACGACACATTCTCCCACAAAGTATGTATAAAATTGTTATACTTTTATGTTTGTTTACATTATTGTTTGAAGTATCAGTTTTCTAATAATGATATGTCTTCACAGAGATGTTCACCTGAACGGGTACAGGATTCCAGCTGGTTCCCAAGTCGTTCCTCTCATCAACTGTGTACACATGGATCCAAACCTCTGGGACGAGCCCAACAAGTTCAATCCAAGTCGTTTTATAGATGAAAATGGAAAAATCAAGCGACCCGAGTACTTTATGCCGTTTGGAGTCGGACGTCGTATGTGCCTAGGGGATGTTTTGGCAAGAATGGAAATGTTTATGTTCTTCGCAAGTTTGATGCATCAGTTCGATGTTCAAACCGAGGCGGGTGCGGCGCCACCATCGCTGGAAGGAACGGTGGGTGCCACAATCTCGCCACAGCCTTTCCGCGTCAAGTTCGTGCCTCGCTCGCCACCAGCTCCGCCGGTGGTCCTGGTCCACGAACATCCACACTTGCGCCATGTCGGTTCGCACTAAGCGTCCTGATGATATTGCCACTACATACCCACCAGTATTCCATGATCACTCGTTTTAGAGCGCATCGATGATAAATTAAATTAAGTTATAAGTAAGTGACGACATCGCTGCGGTGAATGTCGAGGCTGTGCATAAAGTGTTCAATTAAATAGTAAACAGAACTTTACTTTAGATGTACTAAAATTCCCATCGTCGAGATTATGAATTGTTAATTTATAACTTCAGTATTATGTATAGATTTTGATCTATGAGATCTTCAATCACATACATCAAATGAAGCTGTTTCGTTACGAAATGTAGTTATTATTTCATTAACATCTTAAGCTCTAGTTTCCTATACCAAAATAAATGTTTATAGTAGAATGTTATTTATTAGGAGGTGTCATTTGTGAGTGTGGTCTGTTGAGTGTGATCTCATGTTATTGTGTTACGTGTGAATATTAATATTATTGTAAGATTGTAACTGTTCATTTTTACATATCTAGTTTTATGCGTCTATCATGAGTAATATACTAAGTAACATTCCATGGTAGTGCAGAAACCAACAACTAGTCTAAGAGCGGTAATGTTGTCGCTATAAGTATAATCTTTCATATTACATAATTTTATAAAACAATTGCATATATTTGCAACCAAGTTGCTGTTAATTGAATATCGTAAATTATTTGGAATGTAAAAATTCAGAGGTTTCAGTAAATTTCATCATTATTTACTCAAGCTTTGTAAATATTGCTTTAAAATTATGTTACAAAATTGTATTTCATAATAAACGATAAAAAATTTCATGAAAATAATATGTAATTTTATTTCAACTGTGTATTCTTTTTTATTCTCTTTATTTCTGACTTAACAACTCCCGAATATAATTATTATGAAGAAGGATTAAAAAAAATACTTCGATATATAAAAACTGATTATTCTACGTATTGTGAATATCAGACGAAATCTTCTATATTATCAAGCAAGGAAATAAATATTTATACAGAGTCACAAACGAAAAGAACATGAGGCGGCGACAAAGTAACGCCAACTTTTCCTTGCATTTCCTTTGTCGAGGGAGGCTTTGATTCAAGTCGCACGCGAAAAGACCTAAACAATTGAACCATGAAGCCAACCGCAAGCATTCTTGAAAGCTCATCGCCAGGGCACATTCGCTTACCTAAAATAATTTAAATTCATTATTATGGGTAACAAATTATATTACAAGTTTGACTTTATATTAAGTACCTGTTTGAAACGGTATAAACTCTTGAGGTTTCAACAATTTCCCATTCTCGTCGAGAAACCTGCTTGGTTTAAAAACATGTGGATCTTCCCAAATATTAGGATCCATATGAATTGCCCATTGCAGCGGCACGACCATCGCACCTTTTGGTATTCTATAATTACCCAAATATGTATCCTGAAAGCCAATGAGACTATAAATAGGATTGTAGTAAGTGAGATATCACAGTTATAAATACTGTAATGAATTTATAAATTATGACAAGACATATTTTTTTTATGTTTTATCGCATTTTGATACGATATATTTGACCTCGTTAATTTTATTTTGGTACTCTTACATATATAAGGTATATTCTTGAATTTAGATCGGAATTATTTACAAATACAGAGGTCTCCTAAATTACATTTAAATATATTACAATTGAATATTAAGATGTATGAATATAATTTAGAGAAATTTGTCCTTAAATTAAATGTTTTCGAAAGAAAAAAATCCTTAGGATTGTTTAAAGTAATGTCGTTTACATACTTGCAAACATCCATGAGGTATACCCACGGGTACTATAGACCGGATTCGTTGTGTTTCGCAAATCGCAGCCATAAGTTTAGGTAATTTTGAACTGTCGATTTCACATTCTTCTGAATACACAGACAATATTTCTTCACGCACAAGTTCCTGGAATAAATAACTCATTGGAAAAAATACCTTATGAAGTCTGACTAATATTATAAATCTTGCAACACATAAACGATATTTTTATATATTTTTTGATTGAAAGAACTTAGTATGAATAAAATTATTTTAAAATTTAAAGAAATTTTAACCTGTTCATCCGGATATAATGCCATGTAGAGTAAAAACCACGACAGTGTCACAGACGTAGTATCAAGTCCTGCCCCAAACATGTCAGCTAACAAGAAATGCAACTGTTCGTCAGTCACAAAAATGGCGCTCTCTTCTTTATTTTCATACCTCCTTTTTTGTTCTATCAAGAATTTATCCAAAATGCATTCATCCTGGGATGGAATTAATACGTCGGGATTAAAAAAATGTACTTCGTCGTTTGATGCATTCTTACTATACTTTGTGCATTTTATGAACCCTTCAGGATGTTCGTCAAATAGCTTATCGTGTGCAGGCAATTCAGCACCAGCTGGTTTTTCCAAACCAAGCATTTTGCGCCTGCGGGCTATGATGCTTGCGTATAATCTATGAGTTTGGGCTTGCCCTCGAATTAAAACTTCCATTGTCTTCTGAATAGACGGGGATATGAATCTGAAATTATTGATTTAGTTAAAATGTCTCTCGTCAAGTTAACGGTATTGCTTATACATAGTTATAAGCGTTGTTTAGTTTAATTCATACAAATTAATGTTCATTCCCATTGTTATTCACTAAAATTAATTTATTATTTTATTCAAGAAATATCAAGTAGTCTTTATACGAAATATCACGAGGAACAGTAAATATGAACCTTATAATTTGATTTTATTATTTATATGAGCAACAAATTGAAAGTCACTTGGGTTGTTCCGGTTCCTTGATTTAACACAGAACTGACAGATAAAGTATGCACATTGAATAATTATATGTGACAAATAGATATATGTATAAGTGAAGTTATAATTTTTCGCCCATATAGCTTCCTTTTTCCGTTAAATTTTAAAGTTATCAATTAATTATTGAGTAATTTTTTCATTACTGTAAATATTAAAAGGAACAAAGTACCTCATAAAAGGTAGGAAGTTCACGACAGCGGACACGCCCATTTCATGACAACCTTCTTCTTGTATTTGTCTGAACCAACGCCATGTCTTATCGTCGGCATCGAATTTGAAACCAAATATAATATCATTCACAACGTTGCCCAAAGAATGCGTTATCATATCCGACAAATTAACAGGCCTCCCATTGTTTTCCCTAAGATTCTAAAAGTACATGATAATGTAAAAAAAATTGCGCTCGTGACGTAAATTATTCAAGTGTTCGAACAGAATGGTAAATAGCATCACCCAAACGCATTACAAAAACAAAACTCAGAGATCGTGTTTTTCTGCTAGAGTCTCGGTAACATTTGTCAGTGCCAAGAAAAGGTCACTTTCAAGAATTAATGACGGTTTTTGTCAGGTACAAAAATCTTTTATATTTTAACAATGTTTTTTAGAAGTATTATATACAAGTACAATTTTAGACGTTATTATGCATGCTTTAAAATTGCATTTAGCGTGACAGTTTTTATGTAATATATGTATATCATAAAAAAATGTTGAAAGAATAAAAAATATCAATACTTGAACTACTTCATGGACACCAGAAGCTATACGCTTTTCTAATTTATCTCTGGAAACGCTATGTTTGCTCATGCCAAAACTTTTAAGCCAAGTCGTTACTAGTTTGCGTTGATCTTTCCACCGAGCTCCTTCAGAGCATATTATACCTGAAATTACAGGGATTATAAAAAAATTATATCAAAAGAAATGTTATTTTATCATATACCATAATAGATACCAAATCCTCTCATGATTCCGTGGGTCAAATATAGCGGAGCTCTTCCAGAAAAAACATCTTTGGCAAATGCTTCCCGAACTAATCGATAATCAGATAGAACAACGGCGTATGTACTCCCCATGTCAATGCCATAAATTGGTCCATAACGCTCCGCCAATTTAGTTAAGGTCAAATGAGGTTGTTCTGGGTCTAAAAATGGTAGGTATCCAAATACAGGCAGACCCCAGGGGCCCGGGGGTAAAGACCGCCATCGATAAAGTTTTTTGAGTAACAAAAATCCCAGCACGATCGTTACCAGCCACAAGAATATGTCATCCATATCTGTAATATTTCAAAATAAATACATAACACATTACAAATGTTACGATATAATATACACAACAATTAGTAATAAATCATATATTTTTAACAGACAAAACTTAAGCTCATATCTATCAATAAAACATTTAGTTATTTCATAATTTGATAAAATACCACCGTTTGATAAATGATTTGACGTTAATATAAACCTGGACTAATGTCTGTTAGTGCAAATATAAATCATTATTTGATTTAAATTAATGGAGTCGCTACAAGAAGATAAGCGATGAATATAGTGTAATGTAAAATTTATAGTTTGAAACCTTTGATTACGAAAAATAATACATGCCACACATTTAATCATGAGAAATGTTGATAACAAACGTAATTATTATAATGATCTGTATTAAAAAGGTATTTTTACTGTTTACTTTTTTTTACAAATAATATAACCTTCAGAAAAAATCAGGTCAAAATCGAAACAGCGATTATATAGTTATATTAGAGGAACAAACAGAAAAACTGAAAGAAAAATTGTTGCATCACTATATTATGTAACATGTCTGCATAATAACCATAAAAAGTGTTTATTTTAATACTGTAAAGACACATTAAAATTTTATTTATTTATGTACTCGTAGTTTAGCGACCCGCTTAGGCTTCGCACGGGTGCAATCTAGATAAGTACTAATAGATCAGAGTGGAATGTTTACTAATATTATATTTGATTTTCCTCATTCATTTAACTGTATGGTTATTAAGATTTTACAATCTAATAGTTATCATTTACAATCATAAGTCTCGTAGAAATTTCAATAACAACGAAGGTGGCCTTTAATGTTTGAAAAAAAATGGTCAACAAAAATTGTTCAAGCGGTCGTGATCAATACCAATATTTATTTCATGTTTTTTTTTTACTTGAACTGAATGTTATTTTTCTTTGGTTATAAGCAGTGTATTTATAGCTAATAAGAAATATACACACTACAACAGTGAATTAACAATATAATATTGCAATTTTAATAATATCAAAGGACACAAATTGAATAAAGTACATTTTAATACCTTAATTAATAATTAAAGATTTTTATCTGACTAGTATAATCTTAGAATATCAAAGACTTTCGCATGTATTCATAGAAATAAAATTTAGTTTTTTCGGCTTCAACGCGTTTGTTATTATTTTATAACTTCATAACACCGACGTTTCAGTTCCTTTCCAGCAAACTTGATCTTGGATGGACGAGATGGAAGTATCTGTCAGTTAGATATGTTATTTGTCATCCTTGGTATAATCCTCTTTTGATATCTAACACGTACTCTTAATTTCCTATTTTTGTTCACACTCTGCAGCCTAGGCCCATCGTGTGCTGAGAATTATTATTTTTACTACAAGCTTGCTTCGTTAGACTACAAATTTGTTTTATCTAGTTTTTCATTCATAAACCTACAGGTATACTTTCATCTGCGAAGATTTTTATGCTATCAATACTTATATAGGCATGGATATCTTTTACAAAAAAATATCAGTTTATATATAAATAATATACATATATTTTTTCTTTTGATATAAACGAAGCCAACCAAACCAACCATAATTGTAAGAAGTTATTCTACCATGTTTTTGGATTCTCGAATCTTTATTTATTTAAAATATAAATTGAATAAAATAAATAAATTCAATGCAATAATTATAAGCGGAACCTTCTTGTGTCAAAAATTCCACTCGCTAAGGCACGTGTCAAAATTCTCTTATATTATAGTTTGAAATCATTGAGAAGACAAAAACAAGTTAGGCTGTGATATGTATCCTTGTCCGTCATTTAATTCATTGTCAATTTGAAGTCGACGCGAGTACAATTTGTCAAGCCCATAGTAATAATAAACTCTAATAACAATAGCAGTATATTTCTATTGATAAATCTATATTTGACATTTTACCTACTAACATATGTATCTCATATAATGAAATATTTAATACTCTAATCTAAACAGAAATGTTTACGCTATATTAATATGAAATAAATTTAAAAATGCTAAGTTTTATTCAACAACTTTGTATCAACAGCTAAATAATATTTTATCTTTAAACTTCAATGTCATAAAATATAACCTTTCAAATTCCGTGATTGTTACAGTGCTGCCAACTATAAATAATAAAAGTACACGAAGAATGACGTGTTCGGCGCTTATTCTATAAATGTATCTTTGTAGTTGAAATGCAGTTGTGCAGCAAATATATAATTAAACTAACCTTACTTCCTCGCAGGTGGTTGTCTTACTTGATATGTATGATGTCACTTTATGAACTGAACTAACTTCAGGCTACTTGGTCTGTCACTAGTCACGTGGCTCGATGCCCGAGGGCGACTGGCGGTGTTTATGTAAGAAGAGGCCACAATAATTTGGTATTCTTATCAATTTATTCAGATTATCAATTCATTTCCAATGGAATGATTTTAAAGTATAAAAGTAGAGTGTACACATTTGCAACAATATATCATTTTATAAATAAAAAGACACGAATACTCGTGTATTCCTTGCTTTATTCAAAATAGCCAGTTTGCCAATTACTGACAACCAACAAACCCAATAACATATCAATTTAAAAAAATCCCTCAACTATATGGTTAAACCCAGAAATACCTTAAATATTTAAATAATTGTAACTGTTCTCTTACTATTTTGTCCCATAAATGTACTCGCCAAATGTTTATTTTTATTGCAGCTCTTTTTTTATTACGTCGCACTGTAATAAACGCCAATATCGTTTGCTTCGAACCTCTATTCAATAAAGAGTGTGTCAAAATATAATAATTTTATAACATGATGTGAATCATATGCATCTACATTTTAAAAAAGTATTTAGAACTATCTTATCCTATTAAGATTTTCAACAAGAAAATGTTTACACATTGACAAAAAGCAAAACTTTTGAAGTATTTATAAATTTTTAGCAAAATTAAAAAATGTTAAACTCTTAAAGACTTACTTTTTAACAGCGGCTCTACTTTTTTCTTTTCTCGTAGTAAAAACATTTTTTCTGTACTTTTCTAGATCTCTAATAAATTTTTTTATGAATTAAAATAGATTTTTTTTACAATATATTAGACTATCATTAACTCAAGAGGGTTAAAAATATATCTATTAATTCCATCACATTCGATTTTCTTTTATTGTCAGCTCGAATCTCCAGGTATCCGAAGTTATTTTGGACAAAAATTCAAGGACCTGCCTTTAAATGCTTTTCTATTTTCATGAGTCTTCCCAAAAACACTCCCTTTGACATGAAACTGATGAAACTAATATTGGTAAATATCAGATTTTAAGTTTTAAATATTAGTCATCGTTTTAAAACAACAAACTTTATAATACGTGCATCTGCACGATATCGACAAAATATATATAAGGAGAAGAAAATAGAGAAACAAGAAAGAGAAATTATAGTATAGTAAAATAATTTAGCAGAATGAAATTGAGTGTTTAGGTTGGTCTCTTAAGAAGGTTAAATCTTGGTTATTTTACACATTGACTTGACTCCTGTTTGAATGTCCAAACAGCTCTCGAATTTACATGCACGTGTTAAACTCATCACGGTATATTTCATGGATGTTGTAGGTACTATTTGTTATTTATTTGTTATATTTATTCAACGAATTTATCCTTAACATATTCTTTCTCCTGGAATCACATACCATGTGCAGTTATGAAATTAAAAATTACATTTTAACAAGCTATAATAAAATGATTTTATTTGGCAGTAACCTTCAGAGATAGAGAACAAGCATATCTCTAACCTTTGTATCAGACAGACAAATCGAATTGTTTATTTGTTATCGTCTGCATTCTTTTAACATATGTACAATATATTATATAGTAAAAATATTAATACATATTAAAATTATCATTATCTGATAAACTTCATTAATTAATTTTCTTTGACACACGTGTAAAAATTAAAACAAAAAAATATTTATTGCATCACATATATTTGTTTTTGAGTATGTAATTTTTTTTCTATGATTGAAGATAACAATAATAGTATTGAAACGAACCTCTATAACGAACATTTTTATATGTAATGTGTAAGCACAAGTAAAATTAAAAGCCTGAGAACTACAGCGAGGTCGAACGCAGACAGGCGCAAACGCAGCCGCACGCTGAGTGTGAAGGCCGGTCAGCGGCCGAGCAGCTATTAATGGGCCAATCATAACGATCAACTCTTAGGGCTTACGCTACCCACTAATGGCTATAATACGTGTGTCCACGTGCCTCCACTGTCAAAGATAAATAATAATATTGTACTTATAAATTACACACGCTCACAGGAATACAAATTTACTGCCAGCATGCTCAGTTTAAAATAAAGGATGGAATAAATCTAATGTTTCTTCTTATGTTTCCTATGTCAAAATCTTATTTGAATCATTATTGATTTCGATGATCGAACATAATAAACTAATGCAATTGTGTCACCAAAAAGGAAAACTTTTATTATCAATAAACAATTGAAAAGAAAAGGAAAATCTACTTCGCATACGACTCGTCTTCAATACATACGAAAGCAAATGTTGAAATAAAATGTAGTTATCTATCCAAAATTAGAAGGAACTAAATTAAAAAAGTATGAACAAAGACGTCATGTACTGCAAATATTTTGTTTCAATAAAAAAAAAAACAATAAAAGGAAGAACACCTTTTTATCTGTGATCATCAAAATATTAAATTAACGAGAATATACTGTAGTCGGTACGTTAGTCATCTTATACATCATGTCGTTTCAACATCGAAGAATTTTGTCGAACATATTTAAAACAAGCCGATATAAAGTCGGGGCACGTATGACTACGGGTAATTAAATTACGCAACATACCCCATAACGAAAGGACTATACGATTCGATTCCTATGTTATTTAATATGCACAATTGCTGTGAATCTTTAATTGATAAAAAATATACGATTGACATTATTCTGTATGTGCAGGTTCGTTCCAGAACTATACCAAGTCCTACTTTTTGCTATTCTCATTCAGCCACCGTACAGTTATCCAGTGACCAGTGTTACTGACACAATGCAAGGTTAACATGAGGTAGACGCCCGCGCAACTAGCCTCCGAACACTTATAAGGACATTTACGCTTTATCGATATGAACGCATTAAACGAGCCACGAGCCGAAATCTGTTACAACTATTAAATTCAATAAATAAACATACACTTTGATATTCAATAACACATACATACTTCCTAGTTATAATAGAAATATAAGAGTCACTTTTTTCCTTGTCTCATTAATTAATATAAATTAAATCTTTTTCCATTGCAAAGAATGTGACGGGCAAGTTGTGATCCTTGAAAGTTCTCATTTACTTAGAGCATATTTTTCTCAAGAACATATATTTCAATAAAGCTCAATTCGAGAAACAAATTAAGTGGTATATTTAATAACAGCTGTATTATATTTTTAAAAATATAATTTATGAACTGTAATAAAACAAGAGCAATATTTTATTAAACAATTCAATTCAAACCGAGTACTTACAATGTTCATGATAAAAATATATTCGAGACATTGGTGTGAAGAGTTCTAATAAGTGTTGTCATCTATTGAAGCTTAAGAGATTTGTATCAATAAAAAAAATGGCTAATCCTCGTTTATACACGTAGCTGGCGTCGTTAATACCCCCGCCGTAAACTTCTTTTAGGGCCAGTCAACGTACTAGATTACTTCATGCCTTTTTATCCTCTAGAATTCCCGCATCCTGTGCGTACATCTTCCTTCTTTTATTTTTAGCTCGCGTTAAAAAGGCAGTCGAAGCCACGAGGGCAATGTATTCAAGGCTTTTACCCTCTGGGTTGAGCAGGTGTTGCTCAATACTCTCGAAGATTCCCAGCATTCCTTGCTAGCGCGTGGAATATTCTATATTTAGAGACCTGTATAAAAGTATCCTTATAGTTTTCCTTATAATAGACTACACACGGATGTCCTACATTTATTATTCAGACATACAGCTTACAGACATGATATAGCGATAAAGACACTTACACGATGAAATTATCCTTAAAAAATACTTCTATAAATAAAGATCTGAGTAATTTCCATGAATCCAATGCATGCTTGTATATAAACTATATTTAGAAAACGAGATATAAATAACTTTGTAGTGTTATTTATAATAAACTTTCTGATTGATATGCGATCTCTCTTATTATTAAGTTTGTACTCTTGAAATTGAGATGAATACAGTTATTGAATTGTTACTCATTTGATTTAAAAAAAGACTGAAATAATGAGTAAGTCGATGTACAACATCAGTATTTAAATAGATATAAAAATCAATTAAATTTTATAATGGTTCGTAAATATATAACGAATTAATATGAATATAGAGAGTTAACAGCAATCCCTAACCATAAAAAACTTTGGTAATACATTTTATAGCGAAACTTAATGAAGTTTCACAAGCTACTAAAATAAAAGGACGAAATCTACATGAAAGTTGAAAAGTTCCAATTTGAGAAAATATAATGTAAATTTTATATAAAATAATATTCCATTCCGGTATCTGTATAAATATATTCGTAACAATGACAATCACTTAAAAATTGTGATAAATATCTAGAACATTTATAAGACATTCGTCTTAGAACGTTCATTGAATATCTAACAAGTTGTATCAGCTGCGTGGTGAGCATAAATACTAAATAGTCAAGAATTGAGGTCAAATCTCGCGGACAGCTTATACGCACGAAGTATTATGATGTTTCAACAATGAACCCAAACATTTTGATATCCTAAATAAGTTTTATTAATTAAAAAAATACCTTTCCAACTAAACACTTCTATAGCTACAAAGCAACCACGTTTGAAAGTTCAGTATACAGAAGACTCTTGAGCAACTCGTGACATTTTAAAAACGATTTATAAAACTTACCGGGCGCAGTGACAAAACCTTGTTACATATCAAGGTTAACGGAATTATTCGTTTTGTTTCATTTATAACCGGTTTGTATATACAAATATTAAACATAAACTAAAATTTAAATCATTATCCACATCATTTACTTGATAGATTTATCTGTATTAATAATTCATTTTATGGTTAATGACTAAGTAGCGATACTGTAATTTCATGCCATTCATTTGTAAATTAACTATACTTTAACACCTTAAGTATATAATGGTCATATAAAAGCAGGCTTTGACTAACAATTTTAATATTTACGTTTATAAAATTGTTAGCAATTTGGTCCTACCTAACTTTTAAATGAAGTAATTATTAAACTAGTGGTTTTCGTAACTCTTGTTAGTTTAAAATACTTTTAGGTGTCTTATTTTGTTCTTTTGTTAAGAAAATGCATATAAAACGAAAAAGTGATACGTCATAACGTATGAGTATTAATCATTTGGTTGATTAAGTTTGAGAAAACGAAATGGAAGCTGATGTTCTGTGGAGAGTACAGCGACGTCGACGACGCCATGTTTACAAACAAAGAGATCAACGGACGCCAAGTAGGTTAGCGCAGCAGAGCCCGCGTGCGCAGGCGCCCGTAGTATTGTGCGGGTCGTGGTCTCACTCCGGCCACTTCCAAAAACTATCTATCACATTGCTTATCAAATTTAAATACATGCTTATACTAGTTTTTGTACATAAAAATATTCCAAGCATATCATTTTTATACCTCCACTTTATGACCAGAACAGATATTTAGAATATATATTTATTTATAAAAAAAAGTATAAATTAAAATGCATCTGTTTTTGGAGATATATGTTTTGTTCGGTTTGTGAAATCGATACAACGACCGCGCGACCGTCGCCGAGGAAGCGGAGGAAAGTTCCTACCTATTTGCATAGTACTCGACTAACGATCAGTGTACAACTATCCCGCGACTCTCGACGATGGCCTACATAGACATGTTTCATAGTTTATTGTCGCGGTTCAATTTCCGTGGGTGCACGACCACAAAAAGGCAGCCCGGAGCCCCGACACACTTAGGTTGAACCGAAAGTTTCTCCGATAGAGAAACCTACAATATCTAATAGCACCAACATCCGTCTATGCAGATTTCCAGAGCGGCTTGCTCTTATAGATTGTGACCTAAATAGAAATATTATATAGCAATACAACAGATATATTACAAACGGATGGAGACTAGTTTTATATCCAGAGAAATCCTGTATCTTTTAAAAATTATTAGACCGCACGTAATAGGTTGCACATTTGTAACAAATTGACACCCGTATCATGTCGTTTTCATTAACAGAAAAACTTGCACTAGTGTTGCGTTAGAAAGCGTAGACATTTCACCATAAAGCCTAGAAAGTGTACATAGGAAGAAAGTGAAGAAGTAGGCAAAAAAATGTGCATTACATGTGCATCGAGACGCGAGAACTGAGCAACTGCACACAATACTCGCTCCAAATCTGATGTTTCCAGTTGGATCGCCATCACTTTTTCTCCCTAGAAGAGATGATTCACAGCGTTCGATTGCGCGTTTCTCAATGCACATGTTCGCATATTTCTTATTTGTATCATTACGATCATTTTTACTTTCTTTTCCATTCGCTCTTGTTCATCTGTATACATTTTAAATATATCTATATATTTATGCGTCCATTTTAAATCTTAGATCATGTTATTAAAAGAAAAAAAATTATTTAAATATTATTGAAATGTTTTAGTACACATGTACAAAGTACATAAAGTATATTAAAATTATATTATTTGATAATAGTATAAAAATTTAAAACTATTTTGGACTAAACTGTTACGTTCATCTTGTTCAGTAAATTTTTTGAGTATAAAGGAATTACCTACGTATTAAATGACATTACCGGTACTGTATTTGCAGTATTATATGAAAAATACTCCTGAGCAATAGATTTGTTATTTATGATATACATACATATGTATAAGCAACCGTAAATTGAGTATAACTTTAATGCAGTGCGTCATAAAATGGTTAAAATTGCTTGAAAAACAATACCACTTGATTTTTTTTTATGAAGAAAATGCAACAATTAAACACAACTATGTGGAATAATTTGAATGATATTGTTTAATATTTACAACAAAAACAATACTCTAATAATCAACCAACAAATTCTTAATTCTAAACTACAATCTTCGTCATTTAAACAGCCTATTTTCCAATAAAATGCAAAACAATATGCACAATTACCATTACAAAAACAATAATGAAATCGGTAATTTATACGAATTACCATTCATAATTCAAAAGCTCCTAATGTTCTATAATAAATTTTGGATAAGACCTAACTAATTTTAATCCAGACTAATTCAATGCCAAGATCTAATTTTAGTCATTTCTTTAATATATTTTGGTATTTTTTGTGTCATACAGATATTTTAAAGATTTGAAAGTGAAAAGGAAACAATATTTATGTGTACTCGTATTATTTGTATATGCATCACGCGTCGTGAGCTGCTTACAAGCCGTAACAAAAACATGGACACGCATTCATTTGAGATGATTTATTTCCATTACTTGCTTCCATCTCCTTACATTAATAAGAGTACTTATTATCAGTGACAAAAAATATATCGCGTATTATTTGATATTTTAATGACAGTTTCATATATGTCAGTTCCGTTAAATAGTTCGGATAGTAGCATGCGATGTATGTATATGGCCGAGAGAAAATATAAATAAGTACTCACAATCACGGCATACGTATTGTTGATAAATGAAATTTAACCGCTTTACAAATCTACATACATGTATTTGTAAGTCGTCGAGAAATGAAAACATTAAGACGTAAGTAAAGAATCATCGATGGGAAAATCAATGTGAAGACGTCGAGAGAAAGAGTGTGAAGTGGAGAGATGGGCATTTCACCGCGCGGGGTCAATGCGCCAGCGGTACTGTCACTGATTGTGCCCCAATTGCTGTATGTAGGTCTAGGCCGGCGTTCGTCGACCTGCGTGACACACTTAGAGGCGCCTGCACACAGCCGCGGTGCTTTCACGCCCCGCCAGGGTGGGGGGCTCAGCGCTTGCAGAAAGCTAAGATATACATGGGCGGGATCACGTTTCAACAACATAAACAAATGCATCACTTTCATCTCCGTTTATTCAAATATGATGCAGATTTATTCTAACAGAGTTGGCTTAGTAAAAAATATCATAACGAATTTTATATTTTTTGTCGCTTGTCCGCAATGACCCCATGATACACTAACACATTACAAGTATTAAGTTTTTATGCAACCGTCTATAAGGTTTATCCAATGTCATGCTGGTGATTCATTCATTGTCTTATCTCATAAATTATTTGGATTCCAATTTGTATATATTTTTCCATCAAAAAAATTTGTTCATATCTAATTACAAGGATATGAATACTTTGATAAAAGAATTTTAAGCGAAGAATAAAAACGAATCACATAAATAACTCCTAATTTAACAATTCAAGTAACTTTTTGTAGTTTTAATTGTACACACTTGGATTATAATAGAAAAACTACAAAAACGAATTTTTCAAAATTACCAACTTTGAGATTACTAAATTATATTTGACAAGGATAAGATAAGATAAGGACATACAACCCAAAATAATTAACAGAAACTCCCAAAAAAAATTACTATAAACGATTGGAAACATTCATGGTAACGACAGGGAATGCCGCTTAATTAAGAGCAGTGTGCCGGTCATTGAAACTAATGCATAGCTACACGAGATAAGCATGGCTCGTTAGCTAGGGAGAAGGTCGCCTCATCTGGAGCAAGGTCAGACCGGGCACTCTTCGAGTGATAGCCTGGCCTTTGACTCAGTTACGTCCATTATCGGTGTGATCGTAACATTCATACGTTTCTAATGAAAGCTGTATACGGTTTTATTTATTCTGCTGTCGTACTATGTAGATTATATTCT